CCACCACATCGAGGTGGATCCTGAAGATCAACACAAGATGGCTTTCCAAACAAGGTATGGTCACTACGAGTTTGTGGTAATGCCTTTCAGATTGACTGATGCCCCTGCAACCTTCAAAGGTTCATGAATGAATTGTTCCGTCATTGGTTGGACCAATTCGTAATTGTCTATCTCGATGATATCCTAGTGTCCAGTAAGACACTGGAGGATCACGAGAAACACTTACAGATGGTTCTTCAGAAGTTGCGCGGAGGCAACTTCAAATTGAATCCGAAGAAGTCTAAATTTGCTAAGCCTGAAGTATTATACCTAGGGCACATAGTGAATGAAGATGGACTAAGGCCTGAAGAAGAAAAATAACAACAATCAGAGATTGGCCTAAACTTAAGACCGCCATTGAACTCAGGTCTTTCCTAGGACTCGCTAGTTATTATAGGAAGTTCGTCAGAAACTTCTCCTTGATAGTTGCTCCTATGAGAAGATTACTGACAAAGGAAAACCCTTGGTTGTGGGACAAAGATTGTGAGTCGTCATTCAAAAAGTTGAAACATACCCTGACTCACTACCCTGTCTTAAAAATTGTTGACCCTTTTTTTCCTTTCATTGTCACGACTGACGCCAGTCAGTATGGGATTGGCGTTGTGCTACAGCAGGATGACGGTAAGGGATATAAACCTGTTGCGTTTATGTCGAGAAGACTTCCGTCAGAAAAGGTAGTCAACTCTACATATGAAAGGGAACTGTATGCCTTAGTAGTTGCACTAGAAACCTGGAAGCACTACTTGTTGGGGAGGCATTTTACTGTTTATTCTAACCACTCTACGTTGAAGTGGATCAAGACTCAGCCTAGACTCTCCGACAAGTTAGTAAGGTGGTCCGCTTTCCTTGATACATTTGACTTTGAGGTGAAGACCATCAAAGGTAAGTCTAACGTGGTTGCGGATGCTTTTCCCAGGCGTGCAGATTTATTTGGAACTATCGTCTCTTATCTCGATATTGGAAGTGAACTGAAAGAACAAATCCGCAAGGGTTATGGGATTGATCCTATTTGGAGTCCTATCATTGGAACTCTACGAAAGAACCCTGAGTTACTTCCAGAATATCGAATGATTGATGGCTTACTCTTCTTGCTGGACAAAACCGAAGAAGGATTGTGTATTCCTCACCTACAACCAATTAAGAGTTTGATCATTGGGGAATGCCATAATGCGGAAGGTCACTTTGGTTTCAAACGTATGTCGATGTACGAGAACATTTTAAGTGGAAAGGAATAAAGAAAGATGTACTAACGTATGTGCGGACTTGTCTTGTCTGTCAGAGAAACAAACCCTCACATGAGAATCTGATGGGACTACTGAACCCGCTGTCTATTCCAAGTGAGCCAGGTGAGTCCATCTCTATTGACTCCATGAGCCTCACTAAGAGTCGAAACGGCAATAGTCAGGTAATGATCATCGTCGATAGATTCTCTAAGTATGCTATGTTCATTCCTTTACCTGAGGAAGCAAGAACCAAACTAGTCATCCAAAAGTTTCAAATGCGATGGGTCTCTGAGTATGGATTTCCTAAAACCATCGTATCTGACAGAGATGTTCGGTTCACCACTCTGCAATGGCAAAAGTTGATGGAAGTCTATGAAACCAAGTTGACCATGTCGTCAGGAAGACATCCCGAAATGAATGGCCAAACTGAGCAAATGAATCGTCTTTGCCAACAACTTTTGCGAATGTATGTCCATCATGACCAGATTGATTGGGATGAGAACTTGCCAAAAATTGCTAGTGCATATAATAACAGTATACATACTGTTACAGGTAGAACGCCTAACGCACTACATAAAGGTTGGAAACCTAAGCGTCACATTGATGCATTAACAAGGGACCAGATTCAGAGGCTACCCCCAAGAACGCGAGAATTCGCAGTTTTGTATGAAGAAGACATCAGGAAAGTAAAGGAAAACATACAGAAAGCCCAACTGCAAATGATCGAACAAGCTAATAAACATTGTCATCCTTCACAATTTCAGGAAGGGGACATTGTCTGGGTAAAGTCTAAAGAGTGTTCCTTAGAAGAAAATGTGTCTTAAAAACTGCTACCTGTCTACTATGGACCCTGGGAAGTTCTCAAAGTAATTGGAGGAGAAGATGGACCTTCTTACCGTATAGATATACGTCCTCATCTCGGGACATACCCTGTCTTCCATACGTCTAAGATGCTACCTTATGTAGAAAGTGACAATTTCCCAAATAGGCCATCTATGATTCCACCTTCTATGAACAAAGGTTACAAAGTTGAGAAAATATTGGAACATGGCTATTTCTCTACAGGTGGCGAGGACGACCTCAGAAGCAGTACAAGGTAACGTTCAAATCCAAACCCCCATCTCAAGCTAGATGGTTTAGTAGGAAAGAACTTCTACCTACTACTCCTGACATTGTTGCGGCATATGAACGTGGGTTAACTGAGAAATGATGTATTTTCTGCGAAGGAACTCAAAAACTGCGACGGCAGGAATGCAATAACCCATGCCATAGGTCTCGTGGAGCTGAGGGCCACCAGAAGGCCTACTTGGCCGCCCTCAGCCTAGGCCAAATAAGGGCAGAAAAGGCCCTTCACGAATTAAGGGCCTGGGTATGTGACAGTTGACTTTGGTCAATTGTCGGTCCACCCAACAGTCAAAGTCCAAAGGTTGATAGGTCTGTCGTAGGTCCATAGGCAGTAGGGGTTCGATCTGTAGGTCTATAGCGTAGAAGTCTTAGTGAGCTGTATAGATCCCGAGAATTG